CTCAATTACTGGGAACGCTTGAGGTTCCTAAACCTGTATTCCCTGGAATGCAGGAGGGAGAGATACATGATTATATACACCTGGAAAATCCTAGAGGGACTAGTACCGAACTTGCACACGAAAATCCTCACTACGAAAACAAAAGATTTGGCAGCGAGCACCATCCCCCAATGAAAGCAGGGGTGCATAGCACGTTAAGAGACCAAAAAAAGTGTCAGGGGCCCGAACTGTTCAACTGCCCCCAGCACACTAAGGGGGTTACCAAAGCCCCTGGCGTTTTTCAAGCTGGCACGGACAAGACCAAAGTCATTTCCCGATCACCGGGGTGTGGCCGTACTTGGGTTTTGGCGTGCAGCCACAGCAACGGCCTGGTTGATCAGGCTCTGACCCCCAGGGGGCCTGATCACAGACCGGGGCCGGGGGGGGCCGTTGACCCCCGGAACTCTTCCGGGTAAATCCAGGTAAACACCTGTTAACCCCTTTTGGGGGTAGGTCCCCGGTATATAGTGGTAAGATCCCCCTGTCACGCGGGAGGGCCGGGGTTTTGATTCCCAGCCCCGGGGGAAAATGTTTTCAGTGGCCCCGGGGGCCCCGGTGGGTAAAAGTTCCGCTTTTTCACAGGGGGCCCGGGTTCGATTCCGGGGGTGGAAACATTTTGCACGTTTTCCCTTTCACTTTGTCCTGTTTCATAGCAGCAAAAAAGGGACCTGGGGGTTAGTCGATGGTGTGGGTTGCATCCCGGGGACAAGATTAAGGACCCCAAAGGAATAAGTAGACAGTCCCGAGAGCATGACTTTTTTTGGGTTTTCCTGGGTGGCTAAACCCCCCAGGGTTTAAAAAATCCGAACAAATCTTTTCTACTTATTTATTGTGGAAATTTATTTGGGCCCCAAAGTTCCACAGGAAGATACGCTACGAAGGGGTCCCGCTAGCCGTAATGGGAAATGACCTTGGGGGCTTTGCTGAGAAAGTGCAGATGCCTTGATCCCTTTTGGGGTTTTTTGACACCCATCACCATTCGAGGGAGGATGCTAGTGCAAAAGACCGGGGAGCTGAACCTAGGTTGGGGAGGGACCCACTGCCAGAAACGGTCTGTCCAGGATGGGATCTGTTAGCAAAGATCTAGCGGAATGCATGAGTTCACATTCCCCGGGTCCATCGGTGCACCGGCGGGATTATGATTGCACGTCTTCTGTGAGGGCCTCCTCCAGGGCCTATGGGCAGTAGCGTATTGGGGGCCGGGGACCAAGTCAATCTGGTCACCAGTCTGCGCGGGTGACATCCCTGAAGGATTGCTCGACCCCAAAGCTAGAGCTCACGGCGATGTTGCTGGGAGCAAGACTGGTAAGTACGTAGAGGAGGTGTTGAGTAATTTGAGGGTGACACACACCTATGTAGGGGACAGACTCGAGGTGGCCTTTACAGTGGGTCCAGAACGACAGGTCTAAGCCCCCCTATGTCAGGAATCGGGTAAAGGAGATACGGGAACTACAGTCAACGTCAACGATTCTGTACGTGCCTACAGATCAAAACCCAGCCGACCTGATAAGCCGAGGGGTGACACAAAAAGCTGAGTAAAAGCGAGATTTGGTTCAAAGGCCCAGACTGGTTACCGGCAAGGGATTGCTGACCGGAACAGAAATTCGGGGAGACAACCAGCAGCATAGTACACTTTGCGGGGGAACCCGACACTGAATTATTTGACCCCAGGCGCTACTCCTCTTGGAGGAAACTTATAGGAAGCTGCATGACAAGGTAAGCCAAGGTCGACAGTTGTCTCTCGTGGGTCCCAGAGAATATTGGATAAGGCAGTACCAAAGGGAGAGGTTTCCAGGAGTGCTGGAAGTACTGGCGACCAAGCAGCAGGTTATGGCGTCAGGAAGTGTGTCCAACGACGACTCAGGGAACGGTAAATTGGTTCACTCTTTGGGATTGTTCCTAGATCATGCGGGGCTAATAAGATGCAGGGGACGAATACAAAATTCTGAGCTCAGCTATGGGGCCAAACATCCCGTGCTACTGGGAAAGGAGGGATGGGCGTCAGAGCTATTGATACAAAGCCCATCAGAGGACCTTACATGGGGGTTTGGAGATACCCCACCTGCCTACGTCAGAATTACTGGGTACTAAAGGGGTCGAGCGCCGTCAAAAGGGTCTAAAGAGTTGCACGGCCCTGCCGGCGGAAACGAAGGGGAGGACCCTCCCCATACCCAGGCCCCCACCGCTTGCCTCGGGAGTGGGTACATAGTGACAGCCCTTTGAGACTGTGGAATAGATTATACGGGGGCCCTATCACATTGAAGAACCCAGGAGACGATAGGGTGGCCCTCAGAAAGTATATGTCTGCCTGTTTACTTGTGCCACTACTCGAGCTGTGCATTTGGAGTTGGCAGAAGATATGTCAACAGAGACTTTTGTGAAGTTGTTCAGGAGGTTTACAGCCAATTCTCGTGCCTACGATTGATTATCTCGGACAATGGCACAAGCTTTAGGGCGGCCGATAAGGTTTTCAGGAATCTTAGGGACGAGAACACCTGAAGAGAATAGAGTGCGAGTGGAGGTTCATAGCTCCCAGGGCGCCTTGGCAAGGGGGATTCTATGAATGCCTGATGGGCACAGTCAAAAGGTGCATTCGGAAGGTCTTGCACGGCAGGAGAGTGAGCTTTGATGAACTGAGGACAGTGTTAGTTGAGATAGAGGCAAGAGTCAATAACAGGCCTCTGACCTACATACAAAATGGGATTGACGACCAGGAAGCTCTCACCCCCAATCACATGCTGTTTGGAAGGAGGATTAAGCCCTTCCCTGCAATTTTGAGTCAGTCTTCCAAGGAGCTGGATTATTATGGGCCAGATGGTCCCCCCATCAATGAAGAACTGCATAGGGAGTCACAACAGACTGGTGAACATCCTGGACAAATGGAACCAGGTGTGGCGCAGGGATTACTTGACAAAACCCTTTCGGAACATTTCTATGGTGCCGACCCCGAGGCAAATAAGAGATGCTAAGTGAAGGGGACCTGGTGCTAGTAGAATCCGGGTGGCCCAGGGCATACTGGCCTCTTGGCCTGGTAGTGTCGACCCACCCAGACAAGGCTGGGTGGTTGAGAATGGTGAAGGTGAGAATGAATGGTGTCAAGACTATAAGACCCATCAACAGGCTTTTACCTCTTGAGGTCCACACGGTGGGACTGGGACATGAGAAATTAGACAAGAGGCTGACCAAGCTGAGTGGCTGGACGACCCGTCGAATGGCGCTCAAGTCCAGGGCCCACTGGGAGGGCCTGCGGGAGGCAGACTTGATCTAGACTTAGCGCCTACCTTCGCCGGCGGGAGGATGTGGAAATTTATTTGGTCCCTAAAGTTTCACAGGACAGATACGACGTACGAAGGGGTCCCAGCATAGCTGTAATGGGACGGCTGAGCTGGGTGGCCCTTAAACCCTCCCAAACAAACAGCATTCTCTCTAGTTGGCGGGGATTGTTGGTAAGCTTATTTAATTTATAGATTTACCCTTCAGGGAAGGAGTAGGTAGTTTTAAATGGTAGTACACAATATTTGGATCATTGAGGCAAAATGTAGACAATAATAATGTAGACCTAAGCCTTAACATAGGTAGTAATAGGCCGATAATGTAGGGAAAAAACTAGGATAAGTTAGCTAGGAGAAAATGGCAGCCCTAGTTTTGGAACGAAGAAGACGAGGGTCTGGAAGAGAGACCACTCATTCTTCTTAAGACAGACACCAACTGGACAAGACGTGCCGTGATCAGCAGAAAGGCACCCCCCCCGTGTCTTCACATTTGAGACCTGGGGAAATCTGGTAGAGGCACCTCGATGTACCGTAGATGACCCCCGTCAGGCCATACAGTAAGACAAGACCTCCACTTTATCTCGTAGATTTCTGGCCAGTGTCTGGGGAGATTGTGATGAGTTTGATCTGTGGGCCTGTGTTGCAGCTGCAGAGCATGCCCAGTAAAATACCCGTGTCTCAAGGCAGTCTGGAAGCTAGTGTCCGTGTCTGCATAGTTATACTAGGGGATACATACCCTCTTGGATATAGGAATTTCTGAGGTGCAGGCAGGACACTAATAACGATTGAATATTGCAGGAATTAAGGCTCCCGGTTGCACGTGGTTTCTGAGGGGAAGTCCAGAGGGGCTAAGGCTAAGCTTAGGGAAGTTGAAGATCAGGATATATGCTGCAACACCAAGTAAGTTAGTCCTCTATACGTGCATGCAGGCGAGTTTCTTGCAGCATCAATCATTTGTGAAAATCTGTCCTATAGGCCACTTGTGAGGCTGAGGTGTCGGAGCTCGGAGCTCGGTCGGAGCTAGTTATCTGTTTACATTAATGTTTTATCACTGATTTCATCATTGCTTAGTAGCAGCGCTGTATAGTCCTTGTGGCTTAGCGCTTCTTTTTGATTATAATAATAATAATAATCATTGCTTAGTTAATCTTAAGTTAATTTTAAGCCAGCCCGTAATGCTATGCATAGTATAAGTGGCTTTGGCATACTGCTCATATCTGTATTTTTTTTGCACCTCTGTATGTGTGCACAAATTGGAAATAAATAAATAAATAAATAAAAAGAGTTTGCCAGGATAGGCGACTCACTTTGGAGGCAGTCCACACAAATTTTCACACTTATCTTGCCCGAAATGTCTCGGCATAATAATGGTTATCTTTGTACTTAGCAAATCAAAATTGTAATTACACATTGTAACCTTTACAAAGAAATAAACTTTATTTATTTATTTATTTGGTTCCTAGGCCTTTTGTGTATCTATATGCTCTTGGGCTACCGTCCACAGGTTGGATATGAGGTACACAATAAACTAGCCACTTCGGTGGCAAAATGTAAATATTTTTCACTTATGAATATCAGGTTAGGTGTAGCCTTAACGGTTGGTTAAATGGGCTTTAAACCCAATTAACCAACGGGTTGGTTAGGAATTGGCAGCGCGTGCACAAATCAGGACAAGCTGGCAGCGCGTGTATGGATTCGGACGAGTTAGCTGACGTAAACAAACTTGCTGTACCTACCTGTTTGGTTACTGAACTCAGGTGGGAGTGTGAACGTAGCTCTCTGTTGGGGCTTGGCAAGGGGGTCCACCCGATCTAACTGGACACTTCAAGTTTCTATCTCTATTTACAAAGGAACTTTTGTTACTTTTCTCTCATCTCTCAGCCTTGGGCAAAAAAAAAAAAAAATCGTACCATCAAGAAACTGGGCAGTTTTCGGCCTATGGTGTCAGTGGCCCTGATAAACCCAACAAGGAAGAAAAGTACCTGCCTGTTAATGTGTGCGGGGGTCGAGTCTTGGTCCTGAACGTTATAAAAGGTGATGTGTTCACTTGCTGTCCCTTCAAGGGGTGTTCTTTGTTGGTGGTGAAGTGCTCTTGATTTAAGAATTGGGGAAGATTAGTCCCTTTATTTCCTTGGTTTCAACCATGTGTAATATCCCCACATTGGATGTTTATTACATTAGATGGGATATATAGGGCCTTTGTCTTGGAATTATTAATTCTAGCTTATACGACTACCCTAAATGTTACTCATAAATATGGAATTCTTCTTGTAAAAAAATATACCTTCTTTTGTAACCATGGCAATAATTTCAAGGACCCCAATGGAAATAAGTCTGACTTTTAGGTGTTATCTAAAATAATTTACAGTTACATGTAAGTAAGTTTATTTAGGCACAGGTACACATAAGTACAGTTATCATACATAGTGTAAATCACCTAGGATAACCCCAAAAAAAGTCAGTGACTTACTTTCATTAGGTCCTTTACTTAATTGCTTACTGTGTAAAACAATTATAATAATTTAAAATCGTGTTATGTATCTAAATAAGCCTATTTATTTGGAAATATTCATACTGAAGGAACTCTGGATATTCAACAAGTTTATTTAGGTACAATTTTACACAATTTTTGGATAATTTCAATTGCCCTGCATAGTAACATACATAACTTATTTCCATTGATTGTAAGATAAGATTTTGTTGGGATTTTTAACCCAGGGGAGGGTTAGCCACTCAAGATATTCCAGTAAAGTCGGTATGTCATCAATGACTGTTCTTAGTCCCATTGGGGTTCATTCTCAGCATGAAATCCCAACAGTTGACTAACACCCAGGTACCTACTTAATGCTAGGTGAATAGAGGTAGCAGGTACAATGAAACATAGTAAATGCCAGAGACCAATACCTGGTCCCTCAGTGTGTGAGCTGAGGATGTATGATATGACTTCATGTTTTTATTTCACTGTGATGAGGATTTCTACATATGACAGCAAATTGGTAATGAAAGCAAGGTGGTAATGATAGCAAGGTGGTAATGATAGCAAGGTGGTAAAAACTGCAAATTGTTAAAATTAGCAGCCAATCAGTTCTATAGCAACCAGTTATTAAAATGAAAGAGATCTCACCAACATTACCAAGTTGCTGATTGATTGCCAATATTTTCCTACTGGCAAAGAGTTCTCTCATATTTAAATTTATTTATTTATTTATTTATTTATTTGAACATGATACAGAGAAGTACAAGGAATACAATTTTTAAGTGCAGCATGCCAAAGCCCCTTGTATGCAGGCTTAAAATTAACTTAAGATTAACTAAGCAATGATATATTCAGTGGTACAAAAATTATTGTAAAACAGATAACAATTTAGTACAAATGAGTATTACAAATACAGGTCATATGGTCATTTACTGTGTTGCTCTGTAATCAGTAGAATGGAGTATTCTGTTAAGTAATGAGGTTAAATAGTAAGAGTTTGATTGGGTCACAGGTTGACATTTATGAGATACAATAATGAGATACATATATGAGATTCAGTTTATGAGATACAATTATTCAGTATTTATTTAGTTGTGGGTGAGTAAGTGATTTTTGAGAAGAGACTTGAATTTATAAACAGACAAGTGTTTCTTTTATATTCACAGGTAATGAATTCCAGATTTTAGGGCCTTTTATGTGCATTGAGTTTTTGCATAGCGTGAGATGGACACGAGGAACATCAAAGAGTAAAAACTATTGCTAGGCACAACAGTAACCTAATACAGTATTACCTGACTTAGAGGAAAAAGATTTTGTTCTGAATTTTTAACCCTGGGTAACCTAATATAGCCAAGATGTCGTCAAACTCTGTCTTATTTCCATGGGGATCCTTTAATCCTCTAGCCCAGGATGTGACTCGCACTAGTCACCAAACACCCAAGTAACTTGCTGCTAGGTGAAGAGGGGCAGCAAGTGTAAGGAAACATACCTAACATTTCTGTTTGTCTGAGGATGAAATGCCAGTCCTTCAGTGTATGAGCTAAGGCCACTGACAAGGCGCCATGAACCACACCAAACTTAAAAATAAATTATGCTGTTGGATAACTCTGGGTTATACTTGAACAAATCAAAGAAGCTACCGGTTGGATAACTTGCTGACATCAGTTAATTGATAAGTTTGATTTTGCCAGAAACCACTCCTGAATAAAGTGCAGTGGACCCCGGTTTTCGTCATGCGGAAATCATACAATTCGGATTTCAAGCACTTTTTTTTGGCGAAATTTTCCCCTGGGTTTTGTACATCCGCTCGGAAATCATCCATATAAGATGCATCCACTCACCCGGGACACCGCTTCTAACGTGTACCAGACTCAGTTTGCCTCTGCCTCTCGTTGAGTTAGCAGTACTCCTTGTGTTCATCCATTGTTTTTTGTGCTTGTTTATTGATTGTGACTGTGAAATAAGCCCCCATGGGGCCAAAGAAGGTTCAGAGTGCCTGCTCTTTGGTAAAGAAGGTGAGAAACACGATAGAATTCAAGAGTTGCAAAGTTTTGTGGAGAAATACCACTACCACCCTCTACAAAGGTAGAGGGTGGTAGTGATTGTGGTAGAGGGTGGTAGTGATGGTGGTAGAGGGTGGTAGTGATGGTGGTAGAGGGTGGTAGTGGTGGTAGTGGGTGGTAGTGATGGTGGTAGAGGGTGGTAGTGATGGTGGTAGAGGGTGGTAGTGATGGTGGTAGAGGGTGGTAGTGATGGTGGAGGAGGGTGGTAGTGGTTGTGATGGTGGTAGAGAGTGGTAGTGATGGTGGTAGAGGGTGGTAGTGATGGTGGTAGAGGGTGGTAGTGATGGGGGTAGAGGGTGGTATTGATGGTGGTAGAGGGTGGTAGTGATGACAAACAATCGAAGATATCGAGAAGTTGTTGGTGTGGGTGAACGAAAAACAGTTAGCAGGAGATAGTGTTGTGGAGGCGATAATTTGCTAAAAGGCAAGGCAGTTGCATACAGATATCATAAAGAATATGCCAACAAGAGTCTTCAATAAATGTAAAACTGATTTAAATGTTCATTTATCCATTAAAATTAGTGCTTTATATTTATTTCTCATTGTTTTCTGTATGTAAAACTATAGTTATTCTCTATAAAATGTATTTTTTGTTAATATTTTTGGATGTCTGGAATGGATTAATTAGATTTACATTATTTCTTATGGGAAATATTACTTCGGTTGTCGTCCATTTCGGATTTTGGCTGACCTTCTGGAACAGATTAAGGATGAAAGCTGGGGTATTACTGTATCGTAACTTTTGTATGCTCAAAATCATTTGGCTAAGAGCCTATGTTTTTTTTAGTGTCTTTTAAATTGTAAAAATTAAATAAAAATCTTGCTGTGCTACTATCTTTCAATCAGAGGTGAATATTTATGTAAAGGTTCTGCTTTTTTGCATAGACTGAAACAATTATACATGTTGTGAACATTTAGAATGGTTGTTCCTCTACCTGATGTTCAGGTGTGCTGCATTGGATAATGTGCATATCACTTGGTCAGTCAGAGTTAGCATCATGGGGTCTGAACAGCAACTGGATAGGTGATCACTTGATAACCATCTCAGTGTTTCTAATGTTGGTATTAGAACTCTTCTTCATTAGTCTGTATGTCTTCATTTCATTCTTGAAAATGTATAAAGTATGTCATAAAGTACATGTATGTTGTAATATGTCGGTAAATTCATCTCATAGATTTTTATGTATTCCAGATAACCATGGAGACTACAAGAAAAGAATCGCTATTTTTCTCCTATTTTAAGATCACAGCAGTTGTTGCCCTTTATTGGTAGGTATTACAGCCTCTCCTAACTTAGCAATGTATGTACTCGTTTACTGATGCCTCGGACTTACAACGGGCTCTCTGACCAGTATTTATACCTAAATAATGTATATTAGAGCTGATTTCCTCTATTCTGTTTATTTCAGTATACAGTACACTACTGTATAAACATTTAAAAATATACCAGAAATGTTATAAATGGTGCAAAGATGACATTAAAACAACATCAAAGATGGTTGACACAAGCCCACTACCATTATAGTATGCTCCTCACCTAGCAACGAATTTGTTTAACCATGTGGTTTTAGGAACAAAACTCCGTCATTAAGTGAGGAGAGGCTGTACTCTTCTTTAAAGTGATTTGATGTAATTTATCATTCAGTGGCAAAGGAGTTAATGATGTTGCTGAATATTATTATTTTGCAGTTTATTTTTAAACAGTGAACATGAGCAATTTTATGACTAATTACTGGTCTTATTATATGCCATAGATACATTATTCTTCATGACTTTTTTTTTTTTTTTGTATCCATTTCTTCAAAGAATCTCATGATTCTTTCTTTGTTCTTCATGATTAAGTCAAGGGTATAGTTCAACACCATTTGAATTTACATTATCCTCCATCATAAATCCGACATCATTAGGACCTGTAGTGTGCCGGATTGCTGAGGTTGCCGGATTACAGAGTGGTTAGGTTAGAAAACACTTAATAAAATTAACCAACTTGACTTAAAAAAGTTCATTGAACATCGGCAAAAATCGAACATTTCCTCTACTTTAAGCTCAATTTCAAGGTACTTTTCATCATGAAAGCAATCAAAATCATGTCTTATTTCTGTAATATATCTTCCATTCTATCAAATGAGACCCAAAAAACGAGAATACAACCATAAAAACCAAGCGAAAATATACCGCAAAGAGGTGGCTAATGGCTGAGAAGTGAACTCCCTTATTTATCGTCCATCTTTTTTACTTTTGTTGTACATTAAGAAGCATCTTTCCATCATACATTGCCCAAGTTTCAATAAGACAGCCCAACAAACAACTGAGAAAAAAAATATTTACCAAAAATCATATATGGCAAGCCCAAGCCAGGTACTGGAAATAAGTCGCTTTGTCTGCCTTTTTTGGGTTATCCCAGGTTCTCTGTACATACACTGCTATGTATGATAATCTATGTAACTGTATTTGTGTATACCTGAATAAACTTATTTATTTACTTACTTCTAGTCTGTTGACTGAGTACAAGAAACCGCCCATTCATGTATTTCAACCACCCAGTATAGTGGTCAGAAATTGGCAATTTGCCAATTTCACACAAATTTCAACAGATGCCAATTTCAAAATAGGGTCCAGAATAAACAATGCAGACATTCCTGGCACTAAAATAACATTTTCTCTGTTCATTAGTCATGGCTCCAAGCCCCTCTTATATTACTCTTGCTTTCCATTTGGAATTTTTATTCACAAAAAAATAGAAGATTTACTGTTATGCAGACTGCTGCATTATTGTAATAAATGTATAAATATTGTCAACCCATTCTAGACTCCGTATTGGAATTTGGACTGACAGGCAGACAAGTATTGGACGGTGACGTCATTTGTTTACTCTTGAGCTTCGCTAAAGAATAGAACATTTTCTCTACTGTGAGCTCAATTTCAAAGTACTTTTCGTCATGAAAGCAATCAAAATCATATCTATTTCTGTAATATATCTTTCATTCTATCAAATGAGACCGAAAATACGAGAATATAACCATAAAAACTACACAAAAATATACAGCTAAGTGGCCGCTAATGGCTGAGAAGTGAACTCCGCTGTTTATTGTCTGATTTCTTTCATTTTTGGTGTACGTTAAGAAGTATCTTTCCATCATACATTGCCCAAGTTTCAATAAGATAACCCAACAAACAATTGAGAAAATAATAATAATAATATCTATTCACTACACGTATGTACATGTACATGGTATACAGGCCTAGCTGACATCAGTGACATACTACTATATAGAAAGCCACTTGTTATGCAGAGTATTTTAAGCAAATTAGGTCAGTGTCCCAGGATAACACCCACACCAGTTGGCTAACACCCAGGTACCCATTTACTGAAGGGTGAACATAGACAACAGGTGTAAAGAAACACCCCCAATGTTTCTACCCTGGCTGGGAATCGAATATTTACCCAAAATCATTTATGGCTAACCCAAGCCAGGTACTGGAAATAAGCCATGTTGTCTGACTATTTTTGGGTTATCCTAGGTTCTCTACACATATGCTGCTATGTGTGATAATCTGTATAGGGAAAATAACTTTTTTGTTTCAAGTTTATGGTGCAGTACGAGTGTATATCACAGTTAGCCTTGTGCTATACTCTAATAAAAGCCCCCAAGACAGGGATAGGAGAATGAACATAAGAACATAAGAAAGGAGGAACACTGCAGCAGGGCTGTTGGCCCATACTAGGCAGGTCCTTTACAATCCTTCCCACTAACAAAATATTTGCCCAACCCAATTTTCAATGCTACGTAAGTCTCACTCAAATCCAACCCCTCTCAACTCATGTATTTATCTAACCTAAATTTGAAACTACCGACGTTTTAGCTTCAATAACCCTACTAGGTAGACTGTTCCACTCATCAACTACCCTATTTCCAAACCAATACTTTCCTATATCCTTTCGAAATCTAAACTTATCCAATTTGAATCCATTATTGTGGGTTCTTTCTTGAAGTGATATCCTCAAAACCTTATTTATATCCCCTTTGTTAATACCCATCTTCCACTTATACACTTCGATCATGCCTCCCCTCATTCTTCGTCTTACAAGTGAATGTAGTTTAAGAGTCTTCAACCGTTCTTCATATGGAAGATTTCTAATGCTATGTATTAATTTGGTCATTCTATGCTGAATGTTTTCAAGCAAATTTATCCTATGGTATTTGTATACCATATTCTCTTCATACCTCCGTCGAACTGCTCGGTATTATGCCAAATATTATTCATTCCGGAGTATTTAACATGTTTTATGTTATTTATATTGTTTATTATGTCATATTAGATCAATTGTGATAGGCAATAAGTTGTAGTGTTGATATTAGCATAGTAATAAAGCATATTCTCCTGCATCACGAGACTGAGCTCATGGCAACAACAGTGGCTTCAAAGCCAGTGTACTGTGTAGGTGCTTTACACAGCGAGAAGCATTTCTTTTATTCATTGGAACCATGGCTAGGGCTAAAAGTAAGCAGGTTATAACAAATGGAGAAAAAGAAATTAGAATGACTTACGCAGCAAGTAGCGCCACCAAACAGTACCAGCAGGTTGGTGTGGCAACTCTGGAAATTTGAAATTATGCTAGCCAAAATTAGTGCCGGAAAACTGAAGGAACCGAATAACTGATTGCCGGATTTGTGATGGCGGACCTGTATGTATATTCTGTATTCATGGAAGAAACCACAATAAAATGCATGACTGCAAATATGAAAAAAATACGACAGTGAAAAAAGGAAATAAAATCTGAGTGCTTCCATGTGTTTACATGTATCTATCTGAAGATACGATATGTGTCAGCATATGAAAGCGCTCAGGTTTTATTTCTTATTTTCACTGTGGTATTTTTCATATTCTTTATTCATAGTGGTTACATTCTATTTCACATTTGTTTTATTTGTTCTCTTCCATACCCAGTATCTTATTTCATATACAGTATTGAACTGCTCATTAAGATATTAATAGACATGATAATGCACAAGAGTAGTATTCTTCAGAGATTATTTTATTATTTTAATAAATAAATTATCTTTGATACTGAAAGGTATTTAAGATGTGCTGGCTCCTCAGGTGTCCCTTATTTTATGCTATTCATGTAGTCCCAGTCCATGACAGTTGTACTAAGTGCAATCAGGCCATACACACTTAATTCCTCATGAGAATCTCCAATAGGCTTTGTCAGCTGCACCCTTCAGGAAAAGTTCCTTGATGGCAGTGATAGATTTTTGATCCAAGGAATTGATGATAAATTAGACACATGTGCAACTCTTGGGTATCCTTATTGAGGAAACGTTTCGCCACACAGTGGCTTCATCAGTCCATACGTAGGAGAAACTTGAAGAACAGGAGGAGAATGAGGTAATCAGTCCCTCAACCTTGAGTCGATGTGTTCAGTCCATCAATCTTGAATAGAATACGGCATATGAGCGGAGAAGCAGCTTATAAACCGTATGGCAGGAGAGGTGCAGCAGTAATAGGTGGTGTCACATTTGTTCAATGTAGAAGTAGGTCGTGCCCAAGAATTAGGCAAGCGAAGAATTCCTCATTCTCCTCCTGTTCTTCAAGTTTCTCCTACGTATGGACTGATGAAGCCACTGTGTGGCGAAACGTTTCCTCAATAAAGATACCCAAGAGTTGCACATGTGTCTAATTTATCAACATGTCGGTTCTCTGAACCATTCATCTACAAACCTGTCAGACACTGCAACTTCTTGGAATCTTAATACTTAGGAATTCTTCGCTTGCCTAATTCTTGGGCACGACCTACTTCCACATTGAACAAATGTGACACCACCTATTACTGCTGCACCTCTCCTGCCATACGGTTTATAAGCTGCTTCTCCGCTCATATGCCGTATTCTATTCAAGATTGATGGACTGAACACATCGACTCAAGGTTGAGGGACTGATTACCTCATTCTCCTCCTGTTCTTCAAGTTTCTCCTACGTATGGACTGATGAAGCCACTGTGTGGCAAAACGTTTCCTCAATAAAGATACCCAAGAGTTGCACATGTGTCTAATTTATCAACATGTCGGTTCCCTGAACCATTCATCTACGATCCAAGGAATTGTACATACCCTTCCTTGAATCAAACCTGATTACCTTTCATTCTCACAGGTGCTGTGTGACTCCACTGGGTATGAGTTTAACTCTCCCCCATGACTATAATAATAATAATAATTATTATTATTATTATTATTTGTGAACTGCACTGATTGCATATGGTGAAAGTAGAGTAAATCAAATCAACAGAATTATTAATAAAAATAGGACATCACATAGAAGCCAGTCTGCATGAAGCAAGGGACATCTATAATAAATTAGATTATTTTGCAGTTTAACCTTCTTATAAGCTATTGCTAAGAATATTTTATTCTTGTTCATAAAAAAAAGTAGTACAGTAGGACCCCATATCCTTGTGGGATGCATTCCAAGGACCTGCCGTGGATAGTATCCCATGGATAGTAGCGAACCCTATACGTAAGTTGTTTTTCGTTTACATACATACCTATTATAAAGCCTAATTGATAAATTATGCACAATAGGTGGAGAATTATAACTTTCACCATCACTACATTTGCACTTTTAAGCCATTAACCAAAATTAAAATTATTTTTGGGCCACTGTAAACCACGGATAACTGAAACCACAGATAACGGACCCACAGATACAGGGGTCCTACTGTAATTGGTTGTAGTGTAAAAAATAGCATTCCATTATAATCAAATCAATGTTGTTTACAGTGTTGTTGCCAATAAGAAAATGTTCCGTATTTATTCAGTACTGCTGTTTACAGGACAGTGTCCATAACATTGGTATTTGTAAACAAGACACTCCTAGGTGGCTCGTCTATGGGAGACAAAGATGCTCCGTTATTTGTAACTTGGTTCCAGTGCATTGTAACTACTGCTGCGTGCCTGTTCTTCGCATACACCACAAAATTATTTCCTAGTATAATTAATTTCCCTGAAGTTGGAAATATAGAAATACCAAAAGCTAAAAAGGTATGTAAAGTGTTTGATTTGCTTATTTTGTTTACAATTCTGTATTTTCATAAATTTAATTAATAAATGCTATTATAATCCATATTCCTTCCCATATTTTATAATATAAAAATGCAATACTTTATTTTCCAAGAAGATACATTTGTGCTACAAAGATTTATTACATGGAAAAAGTCCATTATTATACATGTCATTTTGGGCATGCCCTTATGAAGTGCTGAAAAGCCCACTCTTTTAGTATTCAGTCATCTGCAAGTGAAGAAACATAAATAATGTACCAGAAAGCACAATAAGGGAAACAGGTAAAAATGAGATTTTTTGTTTCATGCAAATTGACAGTTGTGTGAGAAATAAGGTTATACAGGATAAAAAAGACCAGTGTCTTGGGGAAGGTACAAAAAGGAAAATGTAAGCATGTGACAACCACTTACTCTTTCTGACTGAATTATGAGAGACTCTTAATTAATTAGGGACTACATGTGGAATTAACTGAAAATGAATAGGTAATATGAGACATTTTAAAGGATGTAAGATATCACAAGATGACATTATACATGGGGTTGAGGGGAACGGAGAATTGACATGATTTTTTTAAAAGGGTTAAGGGCCACATTAAAAAAAAATACAAGGAGAGCTAAAAAAAAAAACTAAAGGGGTAGTGACAATATCAATACCAGGATTTTTTTGTGGTTGTTTCCTCCTGCAAGGGGGGGAAAACCAGGCTTGGTTTGTGCTATCTCCCCTTCATTTTTTCCTGTTCTTTCAGATGCTATCCTATGTTCAAAAGGGGGCTTCTTCTTTACACAACTTTAAACTCAGAAAGATTTAAATTTTTGTTACTTCAACGCGGGGCCCAGTGCAAGAAGAAACGGCAGGTTTTTTTGGTTTTTCCCCTATATGTTTCATACTGTCCTCACTAATCATTCATAAAAATTTTGACAAAGATTTCCTTCACTACGTACTGTACAAGGTTTTTGGGGCCGGGGGCTTGGTGGTGTTTAATTAAAGTGAGTGTAGTAAGTGGTTTAAAAATATTGATTGCTGTTGGAGTGTGAGTTGGGTAAAATTATGTAGGAATAAAGGAAGCTGATTAGCGAACTTGAGTTCTGGGAGGGGAAGGCAGTCCCCTGCACTCAAGGAGGGGTGGAGATTTGTAGTTGAAAGTCACGAATTTAGATGTCAGCTATTTTCTAAAGAAGGGATTAAAAAATGAAAAAATTGTTTTTTTTTTGAGACCCTCCTTTGGGAATTTGGCTGACTTGGTTTATGTTACTTGGAAATTTTTCTTTTATTTGCAGAATTCCCCCTTGACTTGTGTGTTTGGGGGAATGATCTCCATAAATAATTTTCCCTCAAGTATATGGGTTTTCCCCTTTTTTTTGAGGACGCTCACCACCATACTTCAACGCATCTTCACAACATGATTTTGGTGAATAAATTATTTTTGTTTTAAAGGGTTTTTCTTTTCTAAAGACATTTATCTGAAGTCATAACCAATTATATAAAGGCATGGAACCAATTGATTTTAATGTTCTTTTTATCCCCTTTTAAAACAGGTTTTTGACACTGATTCCTTTCTTTATTTGATACTATTGTATCTGTAGGGTTTTGCTCTTTAATTATAATATTGAAGCAGAAAAACAGACATTTAAAAAAAGGTACGTATTGTATTCAAAATAAATGAAGTATAATTATAGTGGACCTTTAGTTTTGAACACTCCCAACTCAAGCAGTTATGTAAAAATTTTTTTTGTAAGTTATTGAAAAGGGATTTTTGGGGGGGCTGAAAAGGACTAATCTAATTTACATTATTCCCTTTTTGGGAAAAAATTCGTTCAGTATTGGGACTTGAAAAGCCTTCTGGAAAAAAAAAAAAAAAATTTAAATTCAACTCAAGGTACCACTGTAATTATTACTTTTTATTATAGATGTTGGGTTTTTTGGCATAGAACACTTATGAAAATTGTCCCCAATTTAGGTAGGAAATTGGCATATACCTTTGTTTTGCTTATTAGGTATAAAATTGTGAATTTGGGTTTTTATAATAATTTTTTATAACAAAACTATTTTGTGAAGTATTTCTTTTCTGTGCTCTGGCATTGCAAAAAAGTGTGAAAATCCAAAAACGGCAGATGTATATTATTATTCTGAGCACCTCCCGCAAAACAGTGAAATGGTGAGGTGGTAAAGGTTTTATGAGATGAAAATATTTTCTTTTTGGGGATTTTTTTTTTTTTTTTTTGGTCCCCTCCTGGGGGAAATGCCCACTTTTTGAAAAAAAAAAAAATATATTATTAGGGTTAAAATATACTAAATAAATTTTAAAAAGGGAAGGGGAAGTTCCTTAGTCCTGGGTATGGGAAATACAATCCTCACTTTTAAAGGAGGGGTTTTGGGGTATTGGCAGTTTGGGGGGATTTTTGTGATCTTTTATGTATATGCTTTTTAAACTTGCATTCGAGCACCTTGCAAAAACAGTGATATGTGTGAGTGAGGAAAGTGTTGAAAGATGAAGAAAGTATTTTTTTTTTGGGATTTTTTTCTCTTTGGGTCACCCCGCCCCAGGAAGATGCCGCTTTTTAAAAAAAAAAAAAACTAGTTGTGTACTTAGAGTAAAAGGGAGATGGGACAAGAGGGAAAAAGGGAAGGTAAAATAAAAAGAGGTGAATTTAAAACTAAGGGGGGGAAAAAGTTAGGGTAGATAAACAACATTGGGAGAAAGACGGGGAGTGCAAGTAGGGTGTGAAGGGGTTGAAGAGGGGTGGGGGAAATTTTATAAATGCATAAGAAGTGGGGGAAAAAATTTGTGCTATAGGAGGGGGGTGCAGGGGGAAAGAGGAGTGAATGGGGGAATGAAGGGGAAAAATAGCTTATAAGAGGTTTTTAAAAGCAAAGTGAATAAGAAGGGCAGAGTATTTTTTTTTTTTTTTATTTAACAATCGGCCCCTACCACCGAGTGGGGCCCAAAAAAAAAGAAAATCCCCAAAAAGAAAAAACTTTCATCATCTTCAACACTCACTTCACTCACACAAAATCCGTTTTTGCAGAGGTGCCAAATACAACATTTAGAACATAAATAGTATAAAGATACACAACTTCCCCCAAAAGTAAAACCCGAACCCCTCCTTTAAGAGGGAGGGATTTTACTTCCAATTTCCCGGAACAATCCAGCTATAAAAAAAAAAAACCGGGTTTTCCCCGAATCCCCACTAAATATTACCCTCTCACACTCTAACAGATCTCAGGGCCCAAATCCATTCGCTCCCTTCCTCCTATGGACAACCCGCCGCCTGTGGAAGTCCAACCCCCCGCCCAAAAACCTCCTAGGTTTCTCTACACTATCCCTTTTGTATGATAAATTTTATGTAACTGTATTTGTTATCCTAAAAAACTTTCTTATTACCCTGTCTTCCTTCCCTACAGATTTAAACCTTCATGTCATTCTACTTTGACCATTCTCTCTAAAGACCAAAAACCCCCTCAACAAACCCTCTTCAGCCCCTGACTAATACTTTTTTTAGCTCCACCCTTTTCCAAAATTTTCCCCACTCTAATTTTTGCATAAATTTTCACCAACATTGCCCTTTGACGGACATTCCACTGCCCCCCAACCCTCCTCGGCTGCATCACAACCCAACTTCTACCTGTATAAAAAGTGTTGGTACCTAAAACTTTCATACATTCCTTTTTACCCCATAATAACTTTTTTTTCTCCACATTACCCCAACCACCACTCACCTTTTTTTCTCTCATCAATTCAAAATTAACCCCATCCTTCATAAATCCATCCGCCGACACACAACTCCCAAATATCGAAAACATTCACTTTTCCTACTCCTCCTCTCCAATTTGATATCCAATTTTTTCTTTATCTAAATCATTTTTATACCCCCCTAAAACCTTTTCTTTTCTAGTTTACTTTTAACTTTCTACCCTTTACACAAATCCCCCAAAATCATCCCAACCTTGCAGTTTTTTCTTTAGAATCTCCCATAACCAGTAAACATCAGCAAAAAGCAACGTTCAATTCCCATTTTGTATTTGATTCCCAAATTTAATCCCACCCCTCTCCCAACACCCTGCTTTATTCTTTTTCAAACCCACTAAAATAAGTGGACTCCCCTTTTTCGATCAGCTCCCAATGCGATAGTTAAGTAAGTGTAAATTTATGTAAGGCGTTTTGATGTGTAGTTTGGGGGGCTGAAATGGAAATCTAATTCACAAATTTCCCTTTTGGGGAAAAAATTCGGTCGTACTGGCACCCGAACATACTTCTGGATGAAATAATACGTAAACCGGGGGGGCCACTGTATATTAAACAGCCATGGTATATTCCACCCCCCTAAAATACTTTTACCGGGAAGTATTTCCCCCTCTTTTCCACACCCTAACCGAGCCTCCTATCCTATAAAAACTCTTTACAGCATTTAGTAACTTCCACCCATTTCCCAAACTTTCAACATCTGCCCAAATTTCTCCACTATCCTCTCTTCAATTTCCTTTTTCAATCCAAAAAATGCAGTAAAAACTTCCCTACCTTTTTCTAAATACTGTTCACATAAAGTTCAAGTAAAACCCCTTTATCACACTCCCCCTTTCCCCCTCTGAAACCTCCTTGCCACCGCAATCCTATATTCGTCTTACCTCTAATTCTTTCAGTTTTTAACCCTACGTACACTTTTTTGGTTAATCATAAACTCTTTCTTCTTTTTTTAACAAACCGCCGTATCCCCCCGACAGGGTGGCCCAAAAAAAAAAAACAAAAGTTTTTTTTTTCAAATTTTGTAATTTATACAGAAAGGGGTTTTCTAGCCCCTTTTCCCCGGGATTTTTTGTCACCTCTCAAACGTATGGTTACGGGGAAGAATTCGCTCCCCTTTCCCATGAGATAAAGGAAATAAAAGAACAAGAACTAGAAAGAAAATTGCAGAAAACCCCAAAGGGGGGTGTGTATAACATGGACCCTCGACTAACGCTATTAATCTGTTCCTGAAGTCATCGTTAGTCAGAATAATCGTTAGTCAAATTAATTTTCCCCTAAGAAATAAAGGAAATCAAA